CGAGAATAGTGGTGAATGGGAAGGGATCGAGGAAGACAGTCACTTCTCACCAAACGGAAGTTCAGGAGGCGAAAGGTTATACTCGTTGATCCAACAGGTTCCAGCATCGAGCTGATCCACAACCCTGTAATTGCAGCAACTCACTCTCCCCTCCCCTCCCCTCCCCTCCCCTCTCCTCCCCTCCCCTCCCCTCCCGTCCTTCTTCTCTTGCCTTTCTCAACACTATTCCTCCGTCCCGAGATCTCACCTGTGTGCTCGTTGGATGTCGTTGGTGAAAACAGCAGCAGCAAGTCCGAAGTCAGTCCCGTTTGCCATCTCGATCGCCTGATGGTCAGGTGAAGTCACGCGGAGATCAATGCTGTGGGAGGAGGGGAGAGGAGGGAGGAGGGAGGAGGGAGGGGGGAGAGAGGACAGAAGGGAGGGGAAACGAGTGTTACCTCCTCCTCAGTCTTGAACGTCTGAACGCAAGCAACAGGACCGAATATTTCTTCCTTGAGCTGTGGCAACAAACATCAACTTCCTCCTCCTCCTCCCAGACCAGCCCAGGATTACAAGCCTCGAATCCTTGGTGCACTTCTCAAAGATGACAGGGCCCAGGAAGAAACCGTTACGGATGCTGTTGCAGCCTCAGCATCAGTGGACGAGAACGAGGGTTGGCCACACTGAGACCTGCTGTGTAGATCCGTGACGACGCTGCGGTCGAGGACAGGATGGCAGCCCTGGGACTTGGCTTCGTCGATGTAGCTCCTGACCTGTGGTAGGAGAGTGAGAGGTGAAGATAAGATGCGACGAGGATGAAGGGAGGACGCAGAAGAGGAGGAGGGAAGGGAGGCAAGGTGTGAGATGAAGCGGATGAAGCAGGAGGAGGAGGAGGAGGAGGAGGAGGAGGAGGAGGAGGAGGAGGAGGAGGAGGAGGAGGAGGAGGAGGAGGAGGAGGAGGAGGATGTGGTGGTGGTGGTGGTGATGGTGGTTGAAGAAGAAACAGGCTGATAGCAAGGAAAGCAACCTTCTTCATGTGATTTTCTGTGATGAGCGCTCCAAACTTCGGTTCAAGTCACAAAACTCTTTTCAAAGAACTTTGACGTCTCACCTGTGTCGACTCTTTCATGGGATCCCCGATCCTTATCCTTCACACCGCCAGCACGTCAGAAGGGCAGGAGGGAGAGACGAAATCCTCCTCGCAACCTGTTCGTCAACTCGCAGAAGCGATGCATGAAGTCGTCCTTGATGCTCTCCTGCCGTCACTGTCACCTGAGCACTCGACTCGCCTGCCTCGCTCCAACCTGCACCAACAGCCTTGTGCCGTTGCTGCAGACCTCACCCTGCCATGAGATTCTTCCTCAGACGACCCACGTTGGCGAGAGACTCGTCTCAGTCACCTGGCAATAGAAGTTCGCCATCATGGCTCCCCTGTAGGCGATCCATGTTCACTATACCACTCTCATAGAGCGCCCGGGTCTCACCGGACTGCGTTGTCAATGTTGGCGTCGTTGAACACTATCATCGGCGACTTTCCTCCAAGTTCCAGCGAGATCTTACCAAGCAATCAACATGTTGGAGGTTGTTGTCATGACCGAAAGTCTTCTCACCGTCTTCAGCGTCGTTGCTGCCCTTTCCATGATCTTCTTGCCAGTCGGGACCGAGCCTTGACGGTCTCGAGGGAGTTGGAGGAGGAGGGGGGGCGGGGGAGGAACGATCACAAACTGATCTCTCCCTCCGACAAACTTGAGAGAACCTCACCTGTCAAAGAAACTTTTCGAACTCCCTTGTGCCCAGCGAGCAGCGACCCTGAGGTGGGAGGTGGGAGTTAGTCTTGCTGTCAGGGAAGGAGAAGGCGGAGTGCGTCGAGGATGAAGTGCGAGGAGGGCAACTCAGCGTAGGGAGGAGGTGGAGCAGAGGAGGGAAGCGAGCAAGTGAGATAGAGATGGACAACTGAGGGAAGGGTAATGATGATGATGATGATGATGATGATGATGATGATGATGATGATGATGATGATGATGATGATGATGATGATGATGATGATGATGATGAGACAAGCAGGAGATGTCAAAAGACGATTGGACAGACCTGTCGTGTGATCGCCATGCACGACATTGAAGACTCCAGGTGGCACTCCAGCTTCAGAGTAGATCTGCCAGCAGGTCACCTCGCAGGCAAGGGAGATCAACCGTCCGCTACCTCGGCGATCCGGAGGGCAGTCAGTGGAGTCAGCTCCGAAGGTTTCAAGATGACGCTGGAGAAAGGCAGCATGAGAGGGTAGGAGGCGCGGTCGCAGCTCAACCTGTTGCCGCACGCTAAGGCAGGAGCCGATTTCCAGAGTCTGCAGGCAGACATGCGTTAGGAGGTAGAGATGGTCCAGTATGATCCCTCACGCGATCTGGTTGGGATAATTCCATGCACCGATGCCAACGCAGACACCCAGGGGCTCTCTCCGCGTGTACCCAAACGCCTGTCGTGACGATGACGATGATGATGATGATGATGATGATGATGATGATGATGATGATGATGGAGATGATGATGGAGATGATGATGATGATGGCGATGATGATGATGGAGATGATTATGATGATGATGACGATGATGGAGATGATGATGGAGATGATGATGGAGATGATGATGGAGATGATGATGAAGATGATGATGATTTCAGAGGTAAATAACACGAATAACACATCAACGACAACACAGTCATCGTCATCATCTCATCCTCATCATCTTCATCAACAAACTAGCAAACACGTCGCACCTTTGAACCGAGGGGGATATATGATCCAGAAACGCAGACGGTCGAGGCAAGCCCGGAGAAGAATTGAACTGAATCGGCTCCTACCCCCCCCTCGTGTGACAACCAACTCCCCCCCTCTCATCCTCATACCCGAGGTGTCGCTCACCGACTCGCTCAATGGTTTTCCGGTGTCGAGCACTTCCAGTCTGACATATCACCATCAGCATCATCGCAAGTCCACCTGCACAGCACTGCACCGCGCAAGCTCAGGGTGGGCGTCCAGCAGCATCTTGCCAGCGTTTGCAAGGATTCTTCCTCTCTCATTTCCCGACATCCTCGACCAAACCTTGAACCCTTCTCTCGCAATCTCCACAGCATAGTCCACAAACCCCTCGTCCGCCACTGGGACCTTGCAGATAACCTGAAGAGCAACTTTACCCTCCCTGCTCAACAAGGCGCGTCGACTCCTCACCTCCGACGTTGCT